CCCACCGCGGGGTGGGGGGGGGAGCGAGCGAGCGGCTGCGTGGTGCTTAGTTGCCGACTGAAAATTAAGCCACGACAGTAGTACACTATCCATGTTGCAAAAGCAAAAGATTTCAAGGCTCTAGTATGTACCCGTCATTTCAAAACACAGGAATAAATATCCTCATACTTTGTTTTTTATGCTAAGAGCCTAAAGTACATACATTATCATGACTCAGCATTGCTCCTTTTGGCTTCCCAGTTGTTCCAGATGTGTATATTAGTACACAGCATTGATTCGGCTTTTGGGAGTTAATAATATCATCCAAAGTAGTATCAGATATGTCATCTCCCACCTCCAGAAACTCTTCCATCTAGAACATGTAACAGAAAATACAGGATATTAAATGGCTTCTTGCAAGTGGGAAAGATGCAGTACCTTATCAGTCTCAAAAATGGCAGAAAAATTCAGTGCCTTGCTCTGAACACGTTTCCAAGGCAAGTTTCACCAGGTCTTGCCTATGTAAGAAGTATGATAAGACTAGCTTAGAACTTAGTGTGTGAATTGCAAATAGACTATCTAAAATTGTGCTGCCACGAGTCTTTCCAGTGTCTAAGAAGGGAATGGTAATACTATTCCTCCTCCAAGATGGATACTATGGACAAGTCATAGAGGCTAAAATTCTGTTACTATCTCACACTGTTAGAATGATTTTGAGCCTTATTTAAAGGAATCTGGATGTACCATTTTTAAGTAAGAGTACACTCGTGACATTCCATCTATAATTCCTTCTCCTTTATATAAATACAAATATAAAGTAATTGGATGAAAGCTTCTTTGCAAAAGCATCATCTAGATGTGTGAATGTTTGCCTAAATTATCTGCTATTTTATAGCAAACAGAGCATATGGTGCTGGTCACAACTTCCATTCAAATTTGGCTCAATCTAGAATGAGCTAAACCTTGGCCCAAAAGAACGCTGAACCTGATCCTCTATGTTTTATCGGTTGCTCCCAGATACTTCTACTGCATGCACCTGGTACGCTGCTAAGCGTACCATTGATTTCAATGCTAATTGAAAACCAGGGTATAACACTTTTTAAGAAAGTCAATAACCAAACTGTCAGTTTCTCATTAGAATCAGGTGATTCATACTGTGCTACAGAACTGTGTTATTCAAATGCAAGATTCAGCACCTCCATTCTTCAATGATTCCTTGGAGATATATCTAGGAACACATGGGATGGTAAAGGGGACGATGTGAAGGACAGCAGAGGTAAAAAGAGGAGAGTCTGTGCTTGAGGGGGAGTTCATTGTTTCCTTCAGACCTCTGCCATTGTCAGTGTGCTACTAAGGTTACAATAGTTAGCCTCTGTGGCACCTAGGCTTCTTTTTCTTGGGTGGCAAGGCTGTCCTAAGGATTATTCTAATTACCAATCATCAGTTTTATACTTTCTTCAAACAAACGACACCTCTGAAAAGAGGGGCAGTACAATGTACAGCTGTAGCAAGTAGAGGATTTGTCACATCCTATCCCTTCCCACAGAATGCGGCTGCATCAATTTCCCTAGCTCCTGGAAAGCCTGGAGGTGTCGGGGATGTAATTGTTCCTATGTGACTTAGCAGTTGTTCCTGTTTTCCTGACCTTACTGTCTTCTCATACTAGAATGCGTTAATCACTGTGAATCTGTTGCCTAGGCTTTGTTTACTGAACAGTACCTGCAACAGAGAGTGTTCCCATTCCACAGAGTGTGAAAGGTACAAACAAAGTCACACACACTACTGGCTTTGCATTTGCCTTCTGGAAACATGCACTGATCAGTGAACTAGGGCTCTGCCCTTACTACAGCAATTGCTCATGACATGTTAGCTGTCAACTTGCAACACAAATCCCTTTTATCAAATGCCATGTGGTTTGGGTGGTTTGCTTTACATCAAACCTAATAACCAATCATTTCTGCCTTTGGTGATTTGATCTCCGATTTTTCCTTCAGATGACAAGCTATGGCAACTGTCAGACACTCTCACAGCTACCCTTCTCCATTGAGAAAATGTGTCCAACATGACACCTGAATAGGGGTGTTTTCAAATATATCAATTCTCAGGCATTTAGGTTTCAGCAACTGAATGTTGTTCCAGAATTAACTGCTAGCATTTATTCCTTTTACTAAGAAATATAAAATAGTAAGATCATCTTTGTAGGAATTTTTTTATTGTACTGAGATGCAAGGCATACTCTATACCAGTACATACAGTATTGTAACAGTAACTGTTTACTATTAACAGTTATATGCTATTCAACATAGCAAAAGAAGATATGATTAAAACAAGTGCAGAAGATTTTTTTCTTGTGTACCTAGTAACCCCTCACATTATCAAAATTGCAAATATTTTAAAATATTTCTACACGGTTCACTCTTCATTAATATCTTTTTTCCCCCAGTTGAAGATTTTCAGCCCAGAATCTGATAATCTGTAGTCCACTTAAAATGCTGATTTTTGTATTTTTCCTACTATTTTCAATTATAATTTCAAAATATATTGGAATAACATGTTTACAAAAATCTGTTCTGCTTAAAATCCTCATCTTTCTTAAATTAAAGGCATTTCTTAAATTAAAGGCTAGACTTCTACCCCTGAGAAATTTCTGATCCTGGCTTTGTCCCTTTTTCCACTTTATCTTTACCATGTGATACGAAGATTCTACATATACTAAGAAAACGTGCTACTCTGTGTAGTCCATAGTTATTTCTCTTCACTTGTTGTCTATCACCAGAAATATCTGTGCAAACAAAATCCAACTATCATGTGTAAAAGTACAGGCATTTTCATGTTCTTGGATTCAGTGTAACTAACCACAATTCAGTTTTCACTAGCACCAGTGGACAGCTTTTATTTTTAATGGTTTGAGAGTACACATTCCCACCTGAAGCCTATAGGTGTTTTGTTAATCCAGTCAAGTAAAAAGCCAGGAAGACACAAGACAGACAGTTAAGCAAGGTAGCTCTGATTTTAGATGTCAAGTATCAAACATGAAGTTACAGGTAAATTAAACTGAAGAAGCCAATGGAGCTTTTGAACACGTTTGCTGGAACACAGCAATGCATTCTAAATAGTAGACATTCCACAGATTAAACATAGTAGAAATTCATCAAATAAATAATACCCCATGAATTATAACTCTGTTCTAGCATTCACATACCGTATACAAGTTTGGATGTCTCTCTGGAACGGAGTCCTTATATAGCACAATAGCTTTCAAGTGCGGCAAGCGATTCCAGATCTGTTGGATTTTTTAAAACAAATTTACTATTTATTATTCATCTCTTGGTGGTTTTTTTCCCACTAAAACACTGCCGAAACTGTAATGGCTTGACAGTCACAAGAAACCTCCTGTTTCCCTCCATCCTCAAATATTCTCCCCTAAACTCACAACCAACTAGCTCAACAAGGAGGGGGGGGGAAGGGGGGTAGGAAAAGGAGATGCTACGCAGTCTGCTCTAGAAAATCTATTTTCAGTCAAAAGATTTAAAAAAGAAAATAACAAACCATCAGAAATGGCTCCTCAGCATCCTTTCTCATAATGAACCAAAGGGCACATCAAGGAACAGTCTAGGTCAAGCTAGAAGCTGACCCTAACTGCTGTGGTTACCAATATAGAGGAAGCCCCTCAGCAAAAAACTGTTGTGAAACTGCTAAAAAAAGTTCTACCTTCTTAAAGAAAAAAAGGAAAGGAAGCCATATGCACATTTGAAGGATAAATAAAAATATAAAGCTGGAGGCTTACAGGCAGACAGCAATGGCTGCTGCTTTCAGTAGCTCTTTTTCTGCTTTGCATGGCCTGCAGAGAGCATTCATTTCACCGAACTTTGTGGGACCCAGTGCCTCATAGATGCCTTTGAATTAATCACATTCTGAACTGACTTGATCAACCTGCGCTAATACAAAAGCAGTGGCTTGACGGTAGCCATTATGTATATATTACTAGAAGGATAACAATTGAAATGTTATGTTATTATTTCAGTCTTGCATTCTTCCAGGGGAAAAAAAAAAAGTTTCAGAAAACCGTCAGCTGGATAAAGCAGTGTTGGCCAGAGCCGTCTTTTCTTTTTCTAGATAGAAATGTGTATGAATCAAATCCCTCGAGTTCTTCAATTTACATTCTCCTCTCCACATTCACGACAGCACAGCCTGGTATTTAGTCAATGACACCGCAAGAAGGGTTGTCTAATTGGATGTTTTTCCAGAATACTTGTAAAAATCTCTCTTCCTCCAAATCACATATAAAACAAAACTACAAAATACAAAACTACAAAATACAAAGCAATTAATGTATAACTTATATGAAATACATTTGGAAAAAATCTACGGATATTTCCTCTCTGGCAGGTACATGTTTTTGGCAGAAAACTCCATCATGGAGGGTCCCCCTGTTTCAGCAAACTGTGCAATTTGGTGCAAGTTTGATGACTCATCTCCAGCCACGGGCCTCCCTCATATCTTACTGACAGACAAGCCCTTCCCAGGGAGCTGCCTTGTGCTCCTTCCCCAGGTCATGCAACAGGGATCTTTCTGTCAAGTTGGTCTTTCAATCTGGCACCCTTGCAGAAACCCACTCAAAGCTGCCAAAGAGTTCTGTCAAAATTGTGACTGTTCACTTAAAGAGCCTCCTCCTTTCTCACTAAAGTCTATCTCACGTCAACAATCATGCTACATCAAAGTGCTGTAAACTCAGCAGCCTTTACGGTTAATATTACGAGCAGGAAAAGATGACATTTTGGAAAGAGGAAACTCTGAATGCTAACATCCTTAATAGTTAAATGGAAGGCCTTTACAAACTTGCATCATCCTAATCTCTTCCATTCAAGCGGTCTGTGCTTTTCCAAACAGAATCAAGCGGTGACGTTATAAACATGGGATCAAAATGTGGGTTTTTTTCCAGGTAAGTTTGCAGTGAACCAGCCAGTGAGCTCTCTGCTGAAGAGAATCAGAACTGCTTAGACGTGAGACACAGACACTATAGAGAACAGAGCTGCAAGTTAACCTCACAGCTCAAACACCAGATACCAGATTTCCAAATAAGAACACTCCCATGAAAGGTTTCACGATACAGATAATGAATATGGTATTTGGGACCAATACAGTATTGAGAAATGGGAAAATTATGGCTTTTAAGTAACCATTCAGCAATCTTGTACCTCCATTATCTTGTCCAATTGTTTCCGATTTTCCACAACCATGATATTGGTTTTGCTGTCATGAGCAATGTAGTGGCAGGCCTCTGGAGAATTGGTTGTATATATTCCTGTGACAATTCCTCTGTATCAAAAATGTAAATATATACACACACGTACATATATGAACATATATTTATATACATACACACATACATGCACTTAGTATCAAAAAAGAGAATAATAATTAAAGATCAGATGAAAGCTGAAAGAGCATGAAGATGTGGAAGAAAACAGCAGCACAGCTGTCATGTTTGTTTCAAGTATTCAGATATACATTAATATCTGATATATGCACATTACAAAAACTAATCTCTGAACTCTGTTCAGTAGAAGATGCCGTAGGCTAGGATTCAGCATTTTAACCCACTTGAGGCTACACGAGAGCTAGCTCAGGAAGTGGTGAAAAAACCACTTATGTCCTCTTTCTGTTCAAGCTGCACACAGATACCAATTTGAATTTCACTGGCACAGAAACAGCTTAAGAGGTAAAATCCAAATTGTATAAACAGGTATCAAGACAGAAGGAACCAGACTAGTTAGTATTTACCTGTCACTTCATCTACTTGAACTTATCTTGCTGTAGACAAATATCATTAGTATAAAACTGGGAGTCTCATCTGTTTCCCACATCTTCCAGTGATAAGATACTGTACAATAGCTTCTGTGAGACTGTCACAGCTAGGCCCATAGCAAACAGGATCAATTTATGAGGGTCTGGACTATTTCAGATATACTGAAAGCTATGAGACTCCAGTAGGTCGCTGAACATGCTAACCAGCTGCAGCACAACTTCCAAGATATGAAACCAAATACTGATTTGCTACATTTCCAGACCTAGCAAAACAGAAATCCCCAAATCCCCCACAAAACCAACCAACCAAACAAAAAAATCTTACCCAGCAAAAACAGCTCCAACAGCTGAGATAAACCATTCTGGAGAATTAAATCCAAGGATTGCTACGCTGTGGAATCGTTCAAGACCAAGCTTAAAAATAATAAGCATAAGGTTATATAATATAGGCACTCTGGAGAGAAACATACAGCATGAAACAGACATACAAATATAAACCATGAGAAGTTTTGATTTACTTATTATTTCGATATTGACAAGTCAAGTTCCCTTAACAGCAGTGTTACCTCTTTAACCAAAACCAATTTTCATCATTATTATTTCAATACGGAATATTGAAATATCTGATCTTCAATTAATGGGAAAAGCCTCCTACATTGTGTTTTTGGGTGTTGTTTGTTTGTTTGTTTGTTTGTTTTAAGGAGACAAAGGGAGAAAAAGGAATTGGTTTTGTTTCCTGTACCTACCTTCAAGAAGCTCTTGGCTGCTTTCCTGGAGAGGCAATAATACTCTGAAAAAGTTATCTTCTCCCACTTTCCATTCTTTTTGCTGGCCAAAGCATTAAGCGATCCATATTTTTCTAGGCTCTCCTTGAACATCTGATGAACTGTTATGGGAGTCTGTGGACATGAGTTATCTATTCTCAGTCTCACTCTGCCATCAGCACAGGAAGTCCACAGAGACTCTGGAAAGTAAAGCATTATCGTCAAGGTATTCTATCACTGAAAAATACCATGTGACTGTGTACCAAAAGACAAGAGGATTGAATAAAGACTGCAGGACTAAGCACAACTCTGGCACTTCCCACCTTTCCAATTTTATAACTATCAAATATGCCATGTAGAAAGAAAAAAATCTTTATTTCTTACACTTTGTTCTGCATCTTGAATACGTAGAAAGAAAAAATCTTTTTCTTACACTTTGTTCTGCATCTTGAATAAAAGTGCCACCACACAGAATTATGCTGATCTTCCGTGTGTTACTGGCACACTACCAATTCCAGAAGAACCTGTCTGTGCATGCTCAGCCCTGCACAACCCACCATCCCTTGAGCTAATGGAGCAGGTGGTGAACCAGAAGGCTACAGAGATCTGAAAGATCTGAAACCTCTGTCCCTGTTCAGCATCCAAGCTCCTTTTGCTTGTCATAGCTCTCTCCTCCCTCCTTCCCCTCCAGCTATTCTCCTTCATCCTGCCCCTGTTCTCCTCTACTTACCACAGTTTTTTTCCCTTGCTTATCTGCCCTGTGTTCTAGTAGGTATATCCACTCCACTCACTCCTGTCTTGCCCTATTTCCACACCATCTTTCACCTTCTTCTGCTTTTGCCTTCCTCACCCTGTCTTTCTATCATCCATTTTTTCCCCCCTGTATTTTTCCTCCCCTTCCTTGACAGGACACAGACACAGAGCACCAACTAACGTCACTTGGCTCTCACCACTGGTGCCAAGGACTGGGGCAGTCCCTGGCATTCACAAGAAATAACTGTCTCAAAGATTCTACTGGGCTCTTGCAAACCCAGCAACAACCAGGCTGAGTATAAACACACCCCTTAGAGAATCTGGGGTTTAGTAAGTTGGCAAAATTTAGGTTAATTCTCACAAGGAAGACAAAAAAACCACTCACAACTCCCCTATCAGACAGTTAGCTCCCATACTTCTGAACAAAATAGTACAAGAACATTTTAAGAACAACATTTTTTTTCTTTAGATTTACTTACATAAGTGAGGAAATATTTTTTAGCATAAACATAAAAAAAATATGTTCTACAGACAGCTGGTGGAAAATTTCAGGCCAAAGAGCTTAGGTTTGCTAGAATTATAAGTAACAGAAAATACAACTTTTTGAAGTTTCTGATACAAGTTAATAAGCACGATTGTCTTTTACTACGCTTATGGAAAGCAAAAACTGTAAAGAAAGCTCAGCTAGTATCTATACAGTTTCCTGGTACCTCAGTGGCTGAAAAAAAGCAGTTCTGGAGTGTTCAAAAGTACAACATACTTCACATCTCTCTCAAATGCTGTTCCTCTAGTTGCTTCACAGAGGGCCTGGAAACAACCTCTCTGAGCATTTCTGGCAATATATGAACACATGAACCATAGCTGGATCCACGCGAGTGCTTTAGAACACACTTGCAGCCTCCCTCAAGTCAGGCTTGCAATCTGCACAGATAACCAGAGGCACAGCAAGCTATTGTCAGCTCACAAACGTACATTAAAAAAAAAACCCAAAGCAACCTTCTCTTGCAGCAAGAAGTTTCATTACTTAGCTATGTAGAAAAGCTCATTCATAATCAGCTGATAAAGTACAACTACTAAACTGAAAAATACCAAAACCAGTCTAGTTTGCTGCCAGTATTCTGTGAAACTATTTCTGAAGGTTTCACTGCCCCATGCTATATCCTAGTATGTGCAGAGCATTTTGAAGAAAAAAAAAAATAAAGATTCACCCTTCTGCCCCCTCTCAGGTAGGGAGATAAAAACCCTGGTGTAGAAAGTGAACTGAGCAGTCAAAGCTGTGATGTGTTTCAATCCAGGATTAATGTTCCTGACTCACATTATGTTCCATTCATGTTCCTGGCTCACAGACTTGCATTTGTTCTCTTGACAAACAGAAAGTAATAATGACAGCAATAAACACAAATAAAGCTGCTTAATCTCCACCAAGATGCCTTCATCTTCTCATGTGTGAATTGCATATAATGATTTTCAAAACACAGGTATGGAGCTTTGCTTAGGTCAGTGGAGGAAGGGCATCATAAATCCAGACAGTTTAGAAAACAAGTAGCTATGAAGGATGCTATAGGTAATAGACAGACTTTATCAAAGTATAAACAGTGGCACCCAACAAATATTTTATGAGTAGTGAAGGCAAAGCAGGTGTTTCTGCACTTAACCTCACTGCTGGTGTGAAACGGATGAGAGATAAGACCTGTCAGACACAGAAGCTAGTGTTAATCCAAATGCTTATTTTCTGCAGTGACACACCAAAGCCCAGATGGAAAAACTCTGTATGACGTTCCGGCTTCTAAACCAACAAAGACAGCAGGGATTGCAGGTGTGGTTGGGCACAGGTGGGTGACTGCTCTGCTGAAAACAAAATCGTACCATACAGAGCTAAAATACAATATTCTAGTCCTTGTATCATAAAAAACTGCTCTTGAACAAAGATTATCGCTCTTCAAGGGAACTGAAAATATTAGCAACACTCCTACAATAACATTACAAAAGTTGCACAATTACTACCTTTTCACTGCAGACATACAGTAAATAACAGAATAGTTTCCACAGAGAAGAGTGAAAAATCAATCAAATCATTGCAATATCTATACACAGAAACCAAAAAGGTACTTTGAAACCAGGTCTCCTTTTGCTTTTCCTTATGCAGTTTTTTCTGGTGTCAAAAAGGCATCTTTGATTCATACCAAGGACTAAGAAGAGAATCAGTTCCACAGAGACTCAGTGAATCACCTTAATGATACACAATATATATCGCAAAGGAATATAAACTTGAACACCCAATTCAGTGTCTGTTCTTGCATGTATTTGCAGGTAGAACTTAAACCTAAAACCAGTTCCTAAATCTAGATAACAAGCCAAATAATTCTAAAGATCTAACTATTCTGTCCCATAGAATTTGTAAAAACAGCAGAACATGAACAATATATTCTGCTTTCAGTTTGCAAAGGGATTTTGAGCAGAGGGCTCATTCTTCTCAGAAAGAGCCTGGGAAGGAATGCCTGGCTAAATACTGAATGAATCGATTATGAACTTTGGGAAAAGCAAAATAGGTGCTCTGCCTCACCAGCATCTGAAAGTTAAATGTAATGTCCAGACTGGAAATGAACTCAGTACCACCTGAAACCAAAGCGGAAATCAGAATAAAGATCCTTTAAATACACTATTAGTGTTGGTACATTATACACCCATAGGTTTACAGACAGCATAAGAAAAAATAAAACAGCATTCCAGCTTAAAGCACTTAATGCCACTGAAAGTTCCCTATATGCAAGCAAAGAGGAGTATTTGTTCCTTTCCTCTTTCTTCCAGTAACTCCTGCTACCTGCATCATACTTTGTACCCAACATGCTTTTTCATTCACTAATATGGGACCTTGGCTCATGTCCTTCATATGAATTCACTGAAGGTCAGAGATGGTGAGAAAAGATTTGCTCCTAAAGAAGACGATTTTGTCAGATAAAACAAAAAATGGCAGAGATTTTATTCAGATAGGTAGTCTTGACTGTCACTTTTTGAGCCTCTTCAAGTGTTTTTTTTCCCCCATGCCGTTCTCCTTCAAGGCCAAATTCCACGATCAGACTAAATTTTCCATGATTCACTGTCTTTGCTGCTGAAGGAAGAGATCGCCCAGAGTAGTCTCATACATATAGTGTATAACAGCATGACCGTACTGCAGTTTGTGTTAGGAATTGCTCTAAGGACAGCTGATCTAAATATTTTGGATTTTAGGTGTGCAGTTTTCCCACTAAAGTGTAAGTTTTCAACAAGAAACTTTACAGGAGAAAAAAAAAATAGTTAAAAACTTTATTTACTACTTAAAAAACACTTTGAAAGTTTTCAACTGATCTTTTACAATACAACCCTAGACTTGTGAACCACTTACATGTGAATACTGATTTATAAAAGTACATTTGTTATTCAAATATTTTCTACCAAGTCTGAAATAATACACAACATAAAATTACAAAAATTGTAATGTGTTTATCAGCCAATTATTATTCCTTTCCACTATGTATGACTGAACAGTTGTGACATGGTACAGGCTGACTCTCCCAGCCCAGGTACCAAAAATTATTTTAAACAGGCAAACAAATAGCAAGTCCATGGGGGGTTTTTTTGTTTGGTTTTTTTTTTTTTTCCCCCATGAATAATCAGTCTGGCTGAAACTGCTGGATCTCTGGAATGTATAAAGGAGACTGTGTACTAGTTAAAAAAAAAAAAAAAAAAGAAATACACTAATCCTACAGTTTAAAGCTAATATATGAATGAAACCTCCTCTCTGTTCACTACGTGACCTGCAAGTATCCTGGTGACTGCCAGAATGGATTTGGGAATGTAAATGAATTCTCATGTTTATGGAGGAACAACTCTGAGAGCCATATAAAATGCAAAAGAACCAAGGCCACCTTTCAGACAGGTAAACAGACAGGCTGGTTGTGGAATCGCCCTGCTGCATGACCTGCGTAACTCCAAGTGGTATTCCATAAATGTGCCTTGGGAAGCAGGAACTAAAACAGTAATTTAACTTCTGCTTGAAACTGATTCAGATTTAACTCACAAAACAGTATCTTGATTATATGCCAGTTTCTGCAAAACATAACTCTAATGACGAGAGAAGGTATTCAGCTCTTTGCTGGAGGCATTTCTGATGGACAGTCATCATCCCAGATTCCACAGCTATGATGCCATCACATTCTGCTGACAATACAAATACATCATTCCTCCTCTCACCCATTATTTTTTAGTTTTCTTCAAGATGTCTGTGGCCCTGAAAGCTTAACTTCTTTTTAGTAAAAGCTGGAGCTGCGTACACCCAGGTTGGAGTCTGAGAGCTTGGCATCTGTGTCAAACTTCCCCTTGTGCCAATGAACAGATTAAACAGAAGTACAGAACTGAATTTCAAGTGAACCTGAATGTATCAGCCGGAATATATACATAGTGATTCTTTTTAAAAAAATACAGAAACCAGCTTCCTGTTGCTTGCCTGGCCACAGCTGGGGGAGGAGGAGGGTTTTCTGCTATATTATCAATTTTCCACAATAAACATGTAACTTTAAACTCTCAAACAGAAAAGACTGAATAAATAGCGGAAATCTTTTTAAACTAGCCAAAACACACACAAATATTTCAGTTCATGGAAACTTGTACCTTTTCCACTGGAGGAAAAGTGAACATTTATGAATTGCAATAAAATATACTGCTCTTCACATCAGTAAACAACTACCAATGCAGATCAGAGAATTAAGATATCCTCCAAAGAATGCCTCTACAAACTGACGTGGAGGGAGTGGTGCATCAGGACGAGTACAAAATAAGCTTCATAACAATACTGACGTTTCTAAAACCGATTACGATGCACCGAAATGGAAGCGTGTGGAGGGTGTAATCAGGAGGAAGCATCACTACAGAAACATTGCCCAGGCATGCAGGAATGGAAACTCAAAACTCAGTTGGAATTGAAATTGGTGAGTGATGTGAAGAGCCACAAGAAGGGCTTCTACAGGTACAGTGGCAGCCAAAAAACCAAGGATATCATGGGCAACTTACTGACACAGGACATGAAAAGGGCTGATGTACTCAGTGCCTTCTTCACCTTGGTCTTTACTGGCAAGATGAGGCTTCCTGGGTTTCTGTGCATAGTGGCAGGTGAGAAGTTTTACCTACAACAGCAGAGGAAGATGAAAGTAGGGACCACTTCGGCAAACTGGACACATACAAAAATGTCGATGGGCCCAGATGGGATGCTTCAGAGTACACACTGAGAGACCAGGCCAAAGTCATCGCAAGGCTGCTCTCCGTCATCTTTGAAAAAGCATGGCAATCTGGTAAGGTCCCCATGACAGGAAAAAGGCAAACGTCACACCTGCCTTCAAAAAGGGGAAGAAAGAAGATTCAAATAACTAAAGGCCAATCAGACTCACTTCAGTCCGTGGAAAGGCTATAGAACAAACTCTCCCGGAAATCGTTTCGAGCTATAAAATGGTGACTGCGACCAGCCAGAATGGACAGACTTGATTTGGCCTTGGTAAATCCAACCCAACTGCCTTCCATGATGAGATGACCGGCTCTGAGATAGGGAGAGCAGTGGCATGTTGTTTACCTTTAACAAGGTCTCCCCCAGCATCCTTGGAAGGTTTGGACTGGGTGGAGTTGGAGTAACAGGTGGATAAAAAATTGCCGGGATAATTAGTCTTTGAGAACAGTGGTCAACATTTAGGTCTAGCTAGCAGTCAATTACAAGTGACATTCTTCAGGGGTTAGTCCTGAGAACAATAGTGTTTAATGACTGCATTATTGTCTTGGACAATAGAATGCACCCTCACCAGCTTCAAAGATGACACCAAACTCGGGGAATTGGCCAACACGCCAAAAGGCAAGGCTGCCATTCAGATGGACCTCAGCAAACCGGAGGAATGGGCTGACATAAACCTCAAAGCTCAACAAGGGTGAGCCTAAGTCTTGTATTTGGGGTAGGATAACCCCATGCAACAGCACAGACTGGATGCCAGCTGGCTCAGCAGAAAACCCCCTGTGGTTCCTGGTGGACAAGTTGAATGCAAGTCAGTAGTACATCCCCGTGGAGATAAAAGGCTAACTGCATCCTGGGCTGCATTAGCAAGATTATAACCAGCAGATCAAGCAAAGTGGTTATTTCCCCCTACTCAGTACTCATGAGGGTGCACCTGAAGCAGCATGCAGCTTTGGAAGCCCCAGTGCAAGACAGAGATCCTGACAAACTAAAGCAAGTCCAGAAGAGGGACTCCCAGATGGTCAGGGGCCTGGAGCCCACCATGTATGAGAAGCCCTTAAAGGGGCTGGGTTTCTTCAATCTGGAGAAGAGAAGACAAAGAATTAATCTAACTGCAGTCTGCCACAGACTGAAGAGGGGTGCTATAAAGAAGACAGATTCTTCTGAGAGGCACACAGCAGAAGAACAAGAGGCAATGGACATGAGCTGCAGCAAGGAAAATTCTTGCTAGATAAAGTAAAATAATTTCACAATGCAGGTGACAGCCTTAGAAGAGGGACTGAGAGGCTGTGGAATCTCCACCCTTAGAGGTTTTCAAAACTCAGCTGAACAAAGCCATGAGCCCTCCTGTGAGCAGAAAGCTGGACTAGTTGTCCTCCAGTGGTCTTTTCCAACATAATGTGTGATTCCATCAGTATAAAACCAGCATGAATGAGTTCTCTCTTAACTTTACACTGGTTTTAAGCCAATATAATGCTTGCTGCCAACAGTAAGGTTACTCTGGATTTACGTACGCATTAGAAAAAACAAAATCTGGCCTGGTTCCACAGGAATGAGCTTCTATACATTGGTGGAAAAGAATGGGGAAAAAATTCCAGAACAACCCGGAGTCCTCATCAGGCAAATTTACTCCTGAGGTTGCAGAACATATCAATTATAAAATGAGAAAGACAGTTCTGCATAACTAGAAAACATCAGTGTCTCCTTCTTTTCTCTTGATATAAGAAACAGACCCACTGCAACTAGACACTGAGCTTCCTTCTCCCAAAAGATTTTTGGGAGAAGTTTTTGACATTCAGTACTCATTTTACCACTCAGCATCTGCGTAGCTGTGTGATGTTTCCAAGTCAAACACTGCTTCTCATTTAAATGGATAACAAGTAGTGCCACAGATTCCCAAAGTCAAATAGAAGACGAAGGCTAACTTAAATTGTAAGCTCCTGATTCATCAACTTAGCAACATACCTAAACTCAAAGGAACTGCTTAATTAAAATGGATGGGGTGTGACTTGTGTTTGCAGGAAAATTATGATGGAACAGCTGGAACGGCTTCTATCCTCAATCGTTCACCTCACCTTTCTTCCAGAGGCTGTGGTCACCTCTGCAGGAGTGGCTGAATGGCATGTGCATTCCTTCCTGAGCATTGTGGTTTACAGCCCAGCATATTACTCTGAACTGCAGCCAGCAGCACCCTCTGGGAGAGAAGCAGGGTAGATAGCTGACAGCAGTAACCAGCGTCCCAGATAAATTCTTAGAAAAATAGGTCAGAGCCTTCATGAGCACACAAGCAAGTACTCTGCAGAATCACAGCCTCAGTAATAATCTACGTATACAATGTGTCTCTCAAATAGTTCAATAAAAATACCCTGAAGTTGAAAACAGAAGTTAGTTATCACCTTTATCCACCCAGATTTATTTTCTGCTTACTGAAAATGAAAAAGCAAATGCCTAGCAGTTCAATTCTTGGAAAGAAACCTATTGCGTATCAAAGAATTACCATTTTAAAAATAAATATATATGCATATAGGTGTATATGTATTTATACATATAAAGTCTGCATGTGAGATTCCTACATAGATCTGTTATTTTTCAAAACCCACTTGCAGTCATTGCTTCAGTTGTCTCATAGAACAAATATTCCCTGTTTAAATGAGCAAATTTAGATACCAGTAGCAGCCTCACCAAGGCAACAGGGAGCTCCCTCAGGGCTGCAAACCTTCCAGAGAACCTTGGAAAGTTCTGCTAGTAAACCTCCTTTAAGCCACATGGTAGCACAACTAGGTTAATTTACCACTGCAATTCGTTTAACATTACAGTAGTATACATATGCTACAATGCAACACAGAACTGACCAAAGTACAGATATTCCTTTACAGCCTCCAGTTATTACACAGTATGCCAAATCCTCAACAGCTGACAGCTGGTAAGCAGGTTGTGATGCCAAAGGTAACACAACAATTGGTATGATTTTCCATGGGATCAAGATATTTTTCACTTTTATCTAATAATTGTCTCAAATACAGACAAAACCTGGGAGAAGCTACTGAATTCATGCAAGTTTACAGAAAGCTCCTGAAAATTTTTCAGTTGCCCTGATTGACTTCAGTTTGATTTTATTTTTGGCTGCCTCTCGTTATCCCAGCCATGAAAAATTGTCAGTCATAACTTGCCAGAATAGACACAAAAATTACATTAAAAAAAATTCTAAAAAGAGCTCAAATTTCCAGGGATCATCTTTTACATGCTTACCTGTTGGCTCTATGCCTTCATCTTGGGTCTCCTCCAAATAAGACAGCGAATCTCGGCAGATAGTCTGTGCATCTGTAAAGGTTCTAAAAGAAAACATACCTGTTAAAAAGTTACGCAGGAGTGCTAGTAGCATCCACTACAATCAATATACAGTATATCCAAGAGAAAACAAAAAACACAGATTGCAAGCACTTTGAAATACAAACAGAAGAAGCTAGAAAGTGGAGAAAACTCCACTACAATCAGGTTAAACAGGGAAATGCCTTCACTCTAAGGATGACATTCTTATTTCATACAGTGGACTTTTGGTTTCAATATCACGGTATACACCAGATGGAGACACTAATTTTGAATCTTGACAGAGAGGCCATGAACCGTGCAAGTATAAAGCATGAATTATCAACCTTAACCTTGATCATACTGCCACTGTACTAATATCACAATACCTTGTAAATTGTCACTGTTGATACCTGTTGAAGCTCTGGGGTTAGGGGCTTTTTTTGTTGTTGTTTGTTTGCTTTTTTAAGGCTAGGAAAAGAAGGAGATTTAGTTCCTAATAATAATAAAGTTTCTCAAAAACGTCACCAAAGCAACAAATTATCATTATCACACGGATGAAATTAACCTTTCTTGGCTGAAATTAACCAGACGATGTTTAAAGCACAGACTCAAAAACAGGAAGTCTGTAAGGTAACAGACTGCAAAGGATTATATGAGCAAAAAATCTAAACAATAACTAAGCATTTAGAAATTACTAACTGCATAAAGCCATGCACTGCAGATTATTCATGAATAGCAGCATGCAGATTTTTTAATTCAGCTGACTTCATTTAATAGGACAAGGGATGGGAATCAGCAGTCTTCAGAGGCCAAGAACAAGTTTGGATTACCTTCATTCCCTCTCAACAGGTAAACAACAGAAGAGTCCTGAGTGAAACTCAGGAAGTCCTTCCCCTCCACAGAATAATAAATTAACTCAAAAGGTAGAAAAAGAAAGTCCAAACAACACCCTTCCCGGCTTTCAAATAAATACAACCAACTTCAAAAGCAGGATTTTACACAGCAGTGTCGGGTAGCGAACAGTCTTCACCCATCAGAAGTGACAATCGCAGTCCATTTCCTCCCTTGCTACTACTATGGTGCAGACCTCCGTGTCTCAGAGCAGAGGTACAGGTCGCAAAAGCAGCTGAAGGAAAATGAGAAGTCATCACTAACCTTGCCTGCAAGGGTATTTCCTCTCTTGTTAATGGCATAATGGGACAAAACATGAAAGGGCTTGTCTGATCAGCAGAGAGTTAGGCTCTGAAAATAGTCACTGGCTTGGTGAAAGTGGATGTTGATGAGAAACTGAGTAATTTAAATATAGAGGGGGATTATACTGCATTTTGAAAGGTAAGTCTGTCTGATATATGGGAAAATGGTGACTTAATGAAGTGGGATTGCAAGGACAGAACGGTGGACCAGGAAGACATATTTGGGAATAAAAACAAAACAAAACATCTGAATTAACTTAAAAACATGTGTTTGTCTGCCATCTCAAAACACTTAATAGTTCTTGAAATTCTTCCTATTTTAAAGAAAAACTACATTTGATGTTTAGTAATCTAATGCAATCTTTTCCTTTAAATATCTTTTGAATACTAAAGCTTTTTTAATTTTTATTATTTTACAAAACAAATAAAACAAAGTCTTAGTCAAAAGATAACTGAACATTACTCTTGCCGAAAACGAATAGCAGAAAAGCCCTCAGAAGAAAACAGATCTGATTAGTGATGTATCAGAAGAGCCTCCTGTGAGGCTATACTCAAAACTTTTAATAACCATCATTAATGACTTTTCCCAGATGAAAATCTCTTTCGTTTGCTTTATTCTCTTCCACCTGTTACAGGGTACTGGTTCAGTTTATATTATGTTCCCTTAATAGAAAAATAATCAACCAACAAGTCTGAACTTCTGGACTTGCTCTAGTAATGCTTCAACATGCAAACGTCATATGAGGAGCTCCGTGCATCTAGTATCTTCAGGAGTGTTAAAGTTAGTAACACTGCATGCAGAGAAGTTGTTATCTGCCTCTATGGACTAAGCAGTCAATTTGAGAGTTGGGTTGTTTTTGCCCTGAAAGTACAAGCAAGAAATTTTCCCTTCCATCAACAATGTATGTGCATATTCAGAACCATCCCTTCTGAGTGAAATAGATTTTGATGTTGTTACTTTTAGCTTTTGTTAGGAGTTATTCCTTTAAAAATTAAGTAAAGATCCAAGAATGGTTATGTTATCTGGAACTGTTCAAGTAAGACTGAATCAAGCAGAAGTCAGTGGGACTGCTTGATCAAGAGCTTACTAGGCATACTGCAGGAAGGAGAAAACGCGCTGCAGAATTAGTTTGGTGGCGAGATGCCCCAGCCAAACCAAAATGCTTTGGAAATCTGGACTTTGGCTGCTAAATTTGTTATTAAGACTGAGGTTCTGCATAAATTATTTACTGTTATTAGTGCAGGGACAGCATGTTCCAAAAATCCAACTACCAGTTTAAAAGGGGATTTTCTACATCCGATTTTTGCATTAAATAAAAAAGTTTATGATTCCAAAGGTAATATGCAAAAACCTCTACAAAGCACAGACACAGGATTTAACAGTAGAGGTCACTTTAGCCAGCCAGTTAGAACAAAGTGAGTTCATGTTACACAACGTTGACCAGCTAGAACTAAACAAAGCATACTTCTGTATAACTCCATTAGCAGAAGTGGTTTTTAAATGACACTATGTCATTACATATGTGATGTAATTTGGGATTTAATTTCAGGGTACCATTCTATCAAACATGACCTCATCTGCTGCCTGAATTCAATGCACACACACACCCCCTTCACCCGAGACAGAGGCACAGCGTGCTCAGGCTGACTGGCTTATCCAGAGGTCTGGGGCAAATCCTAACGTAGCACAACTTGCTTGCAGCTACCACCACTACTCTGTGCCAGTTAGATGTTTTATCACACTGAAGCTGTTCTCACACATCAGGCCAACCTAAAACACAAGAATTTGAACATTCTCTATATTGGATTAACAAAGGGAAAGTTTCCTTTCCTTCTTTGTTTCCAAGATTGTAACAGCTTTAGTGAGATTTATCTTTGCAAACCAGTGGAAGTAACGTGTGTGTGACTGATACGATAATGGTAAAATAATGACTGTTGTAACCGACAGTCCTTACCGCTGGTGATGATTCACCAGAAGCAAAGCATCCAATCTGAATTTGCTGGCATAGCAATTACTTTTTTTAACTAAGTCCATTTGATGGAAACCAAAGAATACAGTTCCATTTCTTATCGTAACTACAGAAACTAAATGTGACAGCTAAATCTCTCCACTTTTATCATTATGAAATGGAAGCACTCTTTTGCTGGTTACACATTAGAAAAACTGTTTTTTCTGTTACCATAATGATACCGAGTGTCTCATTAACGGCACTACTTACTGTGACACTAATTTCCGTAATTTTTTTAGTTTCAAGGGACTTTGGAATTGGCCTTTTCCTTCCACAGGCTCTATGTTTCCTTCTCTGGTAATTGGAATTTCTGCTTATATCTCATATTCTAGGTCAAATACAGTCAGATATTTGCTGTCCTCTAAATTCTCTCCTCATAGTAAAATCTTGTGAAAATACTAAGAATAAAACTGAAAAGAATCTATAAAGTCAGTCTTTAACATGATAACGAACCAATGATTTCTACGGAGAAAATGTTTTACGGAAATTCTCATTTTAATAAGCCTCACAGAATACACTGATTGTCCTGTATAACTAAGTTAGAATCTTTTCTCTCAAATTTAAAAACTATAAACTTTATGTTGTAGGGTTCAATATATTTTGGCCTTAATTCTCCAGAGTGATTTCTAAAATCACAAATTGCACCAACGGAATATGAACAGTTATGCAACAGTCATGTTATCATGAGATTTAAGGGGGAAGCTATTCGTTAAACAGATTACGTATAGTGGCAAATAAGACAATGTCTCTCATTCTTTTTGTATTCCTCTTCCTTATCACTACCGTTCAACTCCTGTAGCTTTGTCAATGTTAAATTTTTACCAGTTGGCTCTCTACAGGGGTTATTCGAATTTAAAAAAATAAACCAGCTTCCTAGAAACTTGCAAAAATAAGCAGTTTATCAAATAACTACATATGTATATTGTTAATACATTATTCAGTACAAGGTATTCCTTTAGACTTCAGGATATTTACTCATAACCCTTTATATACATATAGCAAGTCAAAGTACTTCAAAGTCTGGAAATCACGTTCACAACTGCCACAAAAAAAGACTTAAACATTTTTTTTGCAATTCAAACAGTCAGTAGTTCAGGTTATACATTCATCCAGAGTACCCTCCTTAGCTTCCAGACCTACAGTCTGGGTTCACGATGAAGCTACCATCTCCTCCTTCCTTTCCTGGTATTTCTAATGCAGAGGCTTCTCCCATTACACAGCTTCTCCATTCTCACCTTGTTCCTAGATAATGTCGTACCATATGTGTGGGCTCACCACAGAGTGAAAATATTTTTATTAATGAATTTTATTCTGGTTTAATGCATGGGAAATGTTCACTGCTGAAGATAATGCACTCATGTATTATCAGGTAAGTTGAGATTAATGTGATGCCTAATTTTAGAAGAACAGTATGTTCAAGGTGCAAAGCTATGGCTATGGTCAACCATGTTACTGCAGTTCCTGTCTGCTTAACTTCCGAAGCTTTATTACAAACTATTGCATGATTTTTATTCTTTCGTTCCTTCAAAATAAATTACCCTGCAGATTGTCTACAATAAAGAACATAGCCAATAATGAGGGAATGCTCAGTTACAGTGTCTGCTGAGTGCATACAATTTCTCTGTCACTTACATGCTTTTTCCAAAAAGCAATCCGTTTAGCTTCTCCTGGGAATGCTCTCGTAGCACTGCTTCCAGACTCAATGGCTCTCAGGAAGGCTCACTTGTGTTTTGCCCACACCGTGATGATCCAAAACAGCGCAGCTCCTTCATCTGCTTCGCTGTTGCTCTGAGCATAACATTTACAAGCTCACCTACCAGGCTACTTTCAAGTGGCAGTAAGCATGTTACTACATATTTCTTACAACACAGTCTCCACCTTATAATTAAACTCCTTTCTCTGCTTGCCTTGCCCAAAGAAATATTTTGTAATATGGAGGTGTTTATTTTAGGGAGCAAGGTGTGCAAATCTCCATCTGTACAAGTACTTTTTTCTCAAACACTTTTGTTGAATTGGCTTTCCTAACTATTAAATATGAATCCTATTTAATACACAAAAAATAGGCTGAACTGGAAAATATGCCTTTTTTCCAAGGCAGAACTTCTTCATAAATTTTGTTTTCATCTTTCCCTGCTTGCTTCTCCTGAGGATGACTTGGTGAATTTCATCTCTAAACTCCTACAGCTTGGTTGTTTGATTATTTAAGTAGTCCATAATAAAGTATATGAGAAACAAAAAAATCCTTCTTCCAATCAGTGTGCATCTTTTGCTGCTTCATTCTTTGTGACAAGTGTCCTAAATATTTATCTCTGTTCTAACAATGGCAATTTTTTTTTCCCTAAGCTTTTGTTACATTTTCTCCAGGACAACCCAGCTATATATATTCCACCAGCCTTAAATCTACATTAGAGCTGCTTTTGGTAGTATGTCTTGGGTCGACATCTGCACATTCCAGAGTACTTTTCATTGGGTGTTAGGCATTTTCAAGAGCTCACTGGGGCATTTGAATTCAAGATGAAATCATTAAGTAATCATCTGACAATTCTTCTGGCAGCAAAAAGCGAGAGCTTAAATTACCTCTGGGTACCTCTGAAAACTTTAATGATTCTGGCACTTTGCCTAGAAACTTCAGAAACTAAATGTCTTCATCTGGATCCCATTCATGAGTAATCCTTTCCCCATGCATCCTGCAAGTGCTGAATCCAGTATTTTAAAACAGAGCTCTGGGGAGAGGTTGTAGGAGGGAGTGCAAGACAATAAATTTAGAAGCACAGATCTGTCCTAGAGTTCTAGACAAAGACAATAAAGTCACTCTGATTTGAATCAACATAGCAACATAGTACCAAAGCTTTGATAGCTCAGCAGCTAAATAGAAATCTGTGACCAGCACATAGCCAAGTAGCAAATACGACATCTCCAGACTCTGAGGAGCTATGAATTGTTACCTAAGACACCTTGAAGATATTTTCTCATTTTCTACAGCATAAGGAAAAAACCCACAGTAATGACACACAACATTAGTTATTTAAACCGTAATTTTGTATTACATGTAAAATTCTTCCTATATTAAGGAGCAAAGTAAAGAGTCACAAGAGGTCCTAGTGGTCCTTCACAGGGACATTGCTGTCTATTATGATTGGTCGTCTTATTTACTAATTACTCTTCTATTCAAATTAGGGCAATGTAGTAATACATTCCTTATTCCTTCTATTTAAAATTTCCCTTTGTCCTCGAAGAACAGGTTAGATTTAGGTTTTAACTGGTTTTCATGCTCTCATGAGACTTAAAAAGGGGGCCACAAATCAGCCCAGATATGTTCCTACTCTTGCAAAAAGGGTCAGCTGATTCGACAATCAGCTTGCTTTTCATAGTGCACAAGAAACCAGTCCTTCTCAAATTACTCATATAACTTCTTCCCACACAAAGGTATATTTAAAAGCAACACAAATGCTTAATAAAGAACAAAGTACTAAAGATAAAGTTAACAGCTGAGACCTATTTCGCCATATAACACAGTTGGCACACACCTTCTAGTAAAACCTCTCTCTTTACTTGCAAGAAATAAAACTAAAGTATTCTTTTCTTTTGTTAGGAGTAAATATCCTCAAAAATCAAGCCATTTCTTTTGGTGAGCAGACCAGTTTTACAGATAGCTGAGAACTATGTGGGTGAATGGGAAGGAATGAACAATGTATCCAGCCTTTTTTTATTCCCCTCCTAAAAAAGGCTCTATTCAGCAGTTGGGAGTGTACTACAACCCTTCACTGACCTTGGTACAGATTTTCTGGCTCTGTTCTCCCCTGCACAGCAACAACCCAGACCTGAAGCTGAAATCTTCCAGTAGCTGCCTCTGTATGGCTATTTGCAGGGACTGCAGCAAAGTTAGGTCACACAGAACTCATTATTTCATCTCTTCCTCATTTTTTAGGTCACACTGATTCAATTTCAGCCTTATAAAACGTCTTTTTTCCCTCTTTCCATTTTGCTAGAATTTTATTTTCTTTGTCTAGTCTTTTCTACCTGGAATCCTACTTCCAGCATACAAAAAAGGTATATAAAGTTTGCTACCTAACTTCAAACCACACGAGGTAAACAACACTATTTAACAGGACAACACGCACTGACTTCTTTAAAAAAAACTAACAAAGAAGTATTTATGCCAAGGACTTTGAACACATCAAAAGTATTTGGAGTTTAGTCTCTGTGATATTCTTTCACTAGAAATTCAGAAACAAACCAAATGCTAAACATCTTTCTAATACAGGAAGCTTAAATTTCCTGTTTGCAGTGGGTGAAAACCACTGTATATTTTTAAATTATCTTTTAGCTTTTTTTTTTTTAATAAAGAAATCATGGAAACTTTTTTTTTGTTTAAGCATGCATGGACTAAAATGGAGGCATTATTACTAATTTAGCAAAATCCTAACTTTCATGAGTCAGTGCGTACGTATACCTATACTGATCACAAATTAAATACTGTTTTATGATCTTTGGACAGATTAAACAAAAAAAATGACAATGCTAGTATTAACTGCACTAGGACTCCAGAAGCAGCAGCAACAACAACAAAATGTTCAAAAGCTTTCAAAGATTTCTTAAAACTTTTTTCTTTTCCAAAAACATTGTCTACAGTTTGCTCCTAATGATGCTTACAGAGCCCAGAACAGAAGAAACCATTATGATAAAAATGATCCCAACCAACCATTTACCTGAAAGGGTCAAGCAAATCTCCCAAGTGACATAACATGCAAGTTCTTACCTAAAGAAATGTGAAGTTAGATTTAACTTAACAGAAAAGTAAGTATCTACCTAATAGAATAGTTCGGTCTCTGAGAATGGATAATCAGTACTCAGCAATATTGACAAACTTATACTAATCAGAAGATAAAATATTCCCTGTGAGATGTGTTGTTCTATTCTTAAAATAGGTATTTCCACAAACTCTAGAGATGGGGAGCTTTCTCTAACAGAAGATACCATTCCAGTAACAGAGTAACAGGAAAAACAAAGTCTTTTTCCCTTTTGTGCTGCCTAGGACAGAAAGACAACAGCAGCCAGTAGGGTTATCTTACATGTAAAGAGGTAATACAGACCCTAAAACAAACTCTTCTAAAATGAAGTTTCCCAGTTTGTGCTCTAAGATACAGGTTACCTGGTTAAGTTCTGTTGCCTTTGAAGGGAAGATGCTCAACCACAAAGGCAAATTACCATCTAAGGATTATTCCCCCATATTCAGGAGGGAAGAGAGACCTACTTCCATAGCTGCACCTAGGGTATTTTTGAAAGTCCATTCAAAGTAGATTATATGCATTGTAATACGTGCAGAGCAACTGGTACCGAACCTCGAGAGTCTTCAGTGCCGCTCTTACCACCAGAGACACATGAAGAGATGGGTACAGGAGCACTGACTGGTTTTTTTTCTTGACTATCTGAAATTTGCTATTTTCTGGTATTTGAGAACACCTACAGTCTCACCACATGGTTGAAAAAACATTAATTGTTTAATTTACTGAAGCGTAAGAGTCTAGTAGTTTACCAGTATTTTTGCTAGCATTCCATGTTTTTGCTAAGCTGTGAGCAGCTGAGCCACAGGAGCTAAGCATACCTCTTGTCGGAACTGCTATACACGAACTTCTGCTGAGCCCACTTCTGAGGCTAAGAGCCTCTGTGCTATAAAATGAGTGCTATACAACTAGATATATGCAAATAGGATACAAGCAACATAATCCAAACTGAATGAAGCTATTACGTTTAACGCCAAACTAGAAGTTAGCATAGGAGAATAAATCCATTTAGAATCTTTATTACAGTTTTCTCTCATTCTAGCCTCAAAAGATACACCTTATTCTGCATTAGATAGCAGAGACACCATTAGGCAGACAAGGTTCTTGTGGATCTGCACAGTCGTAGAAGACAAGCTTAAGTTGTGAAAAATTGGTAAATCAGTTTGTTAAAATAAATACTCAAGCTACTTTACCCATTTTCATAGCTTTCTGAAATATTCATTGCATTTTCATCTTGTAATTTTTTCGTAAGAGTCTCTCCACTGTTAGGCATGCTGACAAACCCTCTAAAGCTGGTCACAAATATGCTAAAGAACTGTGCGGGTCAGGCATAAATAAGCTACTTGGACAACTGAAGAAACCAACAGTAACTGGTTATTTGTTAAAAAAAACAACACGTAATACAAGAGGAGGAGACTACAGCTACAAAAGCTATTTCTTTCTGATTTTAACATGCTTGAAATGTCGCAGTGCCTGTGAGCTGCTTACTGTTAAACTTTCCTTTTAATTCAGTTTTCTTTAATTATCCATGAGAAGAATTTTAATGAGTCTACAATGCTTTAAGATGCAAATCTTTTCTTTTGCCAAGATTTCCAATGAATTCGTTCACAGAAGTTGAAGCAATTCTAATTTTATTAACTCTAGTTTCAAAAAAGAACATTCAATTAAGTTATTTTCTTAAAGAAAACCCAGGTTAATTACATTAGGAAATGCCTTCGAGTCAATTATACCTATGAAACCCAGTACTGCAACAGCCAAGCACCTCCTCCAGCATCACAACTACACCAGCACTTCATCGACTTCACCCAACCAGGCCTATCATATACCGTAGAAGTTTCTACGCATGACTAAACAAATTACTTCCCAGGATGTAAGAAAGTCTAGTTTAGATTCTTAGGCTACTTCTCTACTAGTAAACAAACAACATCCAGGGAATGGCTCAAGCCACCCACTGTGAGCACCTTCCCTGGGATGGTTTTGGTCTGTGTGAACTGGCATTTCCCTACAGCAGGGGATAACCCAGGCCAGGGGCTGTTACTGGGAGACGATGTTAATGACTACCCTCTCTGGAAGAGGAAGAGAGGGATGCAAGCTGTGCCATACCATTTGCCTTCAGAGCCAGAGAACAAGATCTAGAATATTTTATTTAGTGGTACAAAGACAGCCATAGTGATTAGGAAAATGTAAGGCTAGTAAACATCTAACTTCATAGAAATATGTGAATTTTATTCCAGAATATCTTGCACCATATCCAAATGCCTAATTGTAGACAATACAATTTGAAATGAAAGGAAAAGAAAGAAAACTTTGCGGTGGGATTCTAAGGGGTCTATTCTCACACCAGAAACTTGCTTTGAAAATATCCGAACACAGAACAGGGAATATTTCAATGGTAAAAATGCATCATCTTAGGCAGCGAATATTCATTTTTGTCAGGATTGATTTAGTTCCTTCATTTTGGGATAATTCTCAAAAATCCCACTTTGTTCCGATGATTCCTTGCAGAAAGCTGCTAGGTATCTTCCATGGGCTTGCAACTAGCTTTCCAGAAATATCATGAAGAAAAAACAGGATTAAACTGTTGCAAGAAATCTCGTTGTTTTTTTCTTCTTCTGGTCATCTAAAATATTTTACATGCTGTGTTATGGGAAAGAATCCAATTAGACGACAACTAATTACCTTGCTTGAGTTGCACCTTGGGTGTTGAGCAGCTAGGTAACTGGCTGGTCTCATAGAAGGAAAATGGGTGTTAATTCTCTAAAACTTGTACTTTCAGCGAATAAACAGAAACCTTCAAATATACATCTCTTCTATATATATTGTGTTTAGAAAGGATTTTTCTGTTCTGTTTTTTGTATAATCTTCTGTTGTGGTTTAACCCGGCAGGCAGCTAAACACCACACAGCCATTCGCTCACTTCTCCCCTCCCCAGCGGGATGGGGGGGAGAATCAGGAAAAAAAAAGTAAAATTTGTGGGTTGAGATAAAGACAGCTTAATAGGACAGAAAAGGAAGGGAAAATAATAATAATAATGATGATGACAAAAGAATATACACAATAAGTGATGCACAATGCAATTGCTCACCACCCGCCGACCGATGCCCAGCCAGTTCCCGAGCAGCCGTCACCCCTCCCCCGGCCAACTCCCCCCAGTTTATATCCCGAGCATGACGTTGTATGGTATGGAATATCCCTTTGGGCAGTTTGGGTCAGCTGTCCTGGCTGTGCCCCCTCCCAGCTCCTTGTGCACCTCCAGCCTTCTGAAGCTGAAAAGTCCTTGACTAGTGTAAACACTACTTCGCAACAACTGAAATATCAGTGTGTTATCAACATTATTCTCATACTAAATCCAAAACACAGCAGTGTACCAGCTACTAGCTAGGAAGGAAACTCTATCCCAGCCAAAACCAGGACAACTTCCTTAAACTAATTGATGGTTAGAAAATAATTTTGACACAATCAAGGACTCCCCGATGCTAAATCACTCCCTTAATAACAAAAGTGGCTGCAGGGCAGTCAGGCTGTGAAGCAAGGGGAATTTATCGGGGGGGACTGGTGGAGAAGAGTTGCTTTTGGGACTGTGCATTGTTTGACTGTAATAGAAAACTCACATGATTGTGCTAAACTGTAAGTTTCCTGCAATTGTCAGCTACAAACAGTCCTGTCATTTTAACAATAGGCTTATGAACGTCATGCTGTAAGAAATAGTTCTACACGGAATTTGCCTTTGTAGTTCTGGTACAACATTTCTAGGTGCTCTTCAAGTTTCAAGTAATAAATCCTAACAAATGAGGCTAGCAACTTATGTAGAGTTCAGTAAGGGATGATCTTCACCTTCAAATGATTTTTACATGCTGCAGTTTCCATGATACTATGGTCCTTTTCTTTTATGCCTATATCTACCTGCATGCAACTTGCACAAGACTGCACTAGACTCAGACTGAATTTTTGCAGTGGGATGGGCTGCTTTTTCCAGCTACAGGTTAAGATTTCTGGGTGTTGACAGGCTCACAAAGCTATGAAGGAAATTAAGAGGCAAATAAAGCTCACATACTGTTTGTGTCCTTTGCTCTACAACTATGATTGGTACCTTTCAGGAACTAGTGACTGATACTTAGAGTTGAAGACACTGTCACTACAAACTTGCACTGTCACAAGATCCCAAACAGAAATATTACAGAGGCCGAAACAAAGCAATGTTGTTAGTAAGGTCAGTAACCAACACAACCACAATGCACAGATCAGCCTCAGTGTGGGTGAAGCGTATGACACCCCTTCATGTTTGGGACAGGATGTTTCAGGTTTAATTCACAATGCCGCTATGGCAACGTGAAACTGCCCATAGCTGTGTACTCCCCCGTTTCTTTACTTGTAAGGCAAGAATGTCTATGTTTCGCCATAAAACTTGTATTTATTTAAAACAAATGGAGGAGTATACTAATTCTGGATGCTCCTTGCTGTTCATCCCAATTAGTTTAAGCAGGTTGTTGATCCATGTAACAAAACAACTCTGCGTGATTGGCCTTTTTTTTTTTCTTAAAAAAAAATCATGTAACTGGTAACAAACATCTTGGTGTAAAACAATGCTTTTTGGTACAAGCATGATGTTAAACTGGTAGTCCTATTGTTATTCCAGACTTCCAGCACCAAAACAAAAAAAAACCCTCACCCCACAACAACCACCAGCAAAACATCTAATAACCTTTACGGTTTCTATTTCAAAGGCTTGGTTACATTTATTTACAAAAACAGCACCACTTCTAATTTTTTTTCATTATTTCAAATCAGTCCTCTTAAAGCCTATCAGTTTTTCAACTTGCTACTAATGCAGCCCTCTGTCTGCTAGGTTCCGTAATGGCTGTTAACTGCATTTACTGTGATTATATACAGCTTTCACATACAAGACATTCATACATCTTTTTTATTTCCCCCTCCCAGTTTCTCATAAAATTAAAGATTTAATTTTGGCCTCTAAAACATTTTAGCTAAGATAAAAACATAACCAACTCCACAGTTACTCTTAAACGAGAGTAGGTTTCAGGGTTTAAGCAAAATTCTAAATCCAAACACGTCTTCAAACATTACTGTGGCTAAGCCTCCATTTAAGTCTTAGTAAACAAATGAGTCTCAATGCACACCTAAAGATCAACAAATTTAAGCTAGCTTGGGCCAAGAAGATGCCGAGGGCAGATTCCATAATGAAAAGCCCCAGGCACGCAACATCTTTTTAAACTCACATACACTTTTTACACTAATTCATTTCTAATGAAGGAATTCAGATTAGGAAAAGGACAACTTTTACCCCTAGCTGTGTCTCCCCATACTTGCAGCATTGAAGAGAATTTATCGATAGTCAAAACCAACAAGACTACCTCATGTACATTCATCAGGTGAAGCAGTTTATCCCACAAAACACTTTGCTATCCACAAGCATAACCAGCTGCATGTATTAATATTTCACGAAATTCCCAGTAGCCATCTCTCTGTGAAAATGTTTTCTCTCTTTGACCATGCCACAGCAACAGGAATTTCATTTTGCTTTTCTGAACAATGCATTCTGCTTTCTAGGGAATTGTTCCACAACAATATAGAGAAAAACACAGATTAGTTTGTGCAAAGCTTCTGGAGTCTGAGTGCCAATAACAAAAGCATCTTAGATTTGCCTGTAACTACCAGTTTGTACTAATTAAGGAAGAGAATCGTAAGGGGAAAAAAAAGTAGCTGTGAATGCACATCTGGAGAAAGAGGCCGCTGTTTCGGAGCAACTGGAGAGAGGCAGAACATTCTGTCAGGTCAAAACAACAGCTGGTCTGAAGACAGGCACATCTAGAAACAATTTTGCTGCTCCTTTCTGAGGAAAAGATTGTTTTAGACTCAAAGTAAGTAGCTTGCATTTTCACCTTTATCTATATGTATTCATTTGTCCCATAACTGCAAATATTCATATATTTGCAGTTGAATTTTCTACAGGCCCAAACCACTTAGAGATGACCAGCCTTTAACCAATCAAAACTGCACTTTGAAAACAGGTCTTACTCCTTCTGTATTACTAGCAATTAAAATTAATTACTACAGATTGTTGCACATTTTAATTAAAACTTGCCTCAGAAAAATCCTCTAAAGTTGCTAGTCACTCACTATACACTGCCCTAAAACGCCATCATTTATATTTTCTTGCAGATACAGATCTTTTACTTTCCATCACAGGCAAAAAGATTTTCCTAAGAGCGTGTTTCTGTACAAAACATCCTTTTCAGGTATTAATTATGGGGGAAAAGTTCCAGTACCATTAAAGGTCCATTACATGAAACTGTTATACTTTAAATAGCCTTTTAAAAGTATATTTTAAGTAAGACTAAAAATCATTGGTTAAAAATATTATTTAAAGGGTGTTTTCCTAACAGCTTTGTAGAAATCGTGATACCTGTTCAGGTTTGGATGCTGAAGGAATCCA